CAAGTATATATAAGAAATGATTAAAAATATTTATATTCTGTTAATGTTTTTGATATAAATCTGAATAGTCTTAAGAAAGAATGGGATTAAATTAGAGATAAAGAGAGAAGGTTAGGGTGGTTTTAAAATAAATGATACAATAATACGCGAGGATCATATCGACGTCACCGTATGAAACCGATACGTGGGCCGAGCTTTCTCGCCGCGGGACACCAGCGGCAAATTGCACCCGCAAAGAGAGTAAAGCGACCAGTTGGAATACCGAAGGTGGTATATACCGGTCCCATGTTGCTGCTTGCTGCTTGCTGCTGCTGCTGCTGCTGCTGTTGCTTGCTGCTGTTCCCGTCCTTTTATCTCACTCCCACTCTCTATATCTCTCTATCTCTCTATCTCTATCTTCCTCTCTCTTTCTATCTTTCTATATATATATATATATATATATATGCCCCTTTCTCTTCTTCTACCTCTCTCACTATCTCTTTTTCTTCTTCGTTTTACTTTCTGAACTGGTCTCTCTCTCTCCCCCCTCTCTCTTCCTTTCTCTCTCTTTCTCTCTCTCTTTCTCTCTCTCTCTCTCTCTCTCTCTCTCTTTCTCTCCATGGCCGAGTAAGGCCGCGTATTCCGAGTCCGTTAATGACGTCGAGTATGCATGCGAGATGAGAAAGATGGTCTCGATCTTGGTCAAGGATCCCAAAACCTCCTACTCATTGGACTTGTACTTTCTCGCAACATCGAACGAACTCTCTTGTGTTAATCCATTCGTTACAAAAACTTTCAGAGAAAGAGAGAGAAAAAGAAAGAAAGAGAGAGAGAGAGAGAGAGAGAGAGAGAAAGATATTAATCTGAACGTTCAGAATTATATTTATTTTCATTTTCACAAGAAATTCATTTACATACGAAAAACTAGATGATATTCTCTTTAATCTATTTAATAATCATATTGATTCTATTGATTATAAAAATAATAAAAATTATATTGATAGTATAGATATCTATATATATATATTTATATATATATATATATATATATATAGTACATCTACGAGTCTGCGTATGTGTGTTTGTATAAATGTATATAATCTTTGATAATTCTAATCTAATATTAGCATATTAGAATATTTATATAGTATCGGTTTGTTAAAGTTAAATAAAAGATTGACTTCCTTGATATTTCTGATTACTCAAGAAAGACCTTGAATCTTTCGAAGGAATCATAATTCGTAAGAGTTATAAGTAGTTCCCCCAGAGTAAATGGATTCGATATCGATAATATCTTTTTCGAATGTTAACGAAGCAAATGTCTTAGCAAGTAGAGTGAAGGGCGTTTCTCTTAGAGAGAGTTACATTGACTTTTTTCTATCCTTTCTATTCTCTCTATCTTCCTTTTTCTTTTTTTTTCTTTTTTCTTTTTTTTTTTTTTTGCTTTCTTTCTTTTTCTTCCTTAGGTCGATCGAATCGACCAAGAACAGAACGATCGTACGCGCCCCAAGAGAGGGTTGGCTGATCTAAATTGAATAGACGTTTCGTGATGTAGTGCAAGACGTTACCTACCAGCACGGGAGACGCCCACGATAAGGGCCGTTCACATTTCCAAGAGAAAGAAAGAAAGAAAGAAAGAGAGAAAGAGAGAAGGAGAGGAAGAGAGGGAAGGAGAGAGAGAGAGAGTAAATCTTTCAGTATTCACGTCTCCATTAGACTTTCTTAGCTGAGGAAAAGGAAGATGGCGATCGTGACGAGTGCCAGGAGATATATCGGACTCGATGAAAACTCTACGAACGATCCCTTCGAAGGATTGGATTCTAGATGGACGTTTAAAAGGAACTCGAATCCTTGATTCTATCTTTCAACATAGTACAACCCCGACTTCTCGATTTACGCGGATTATTTGTTTCAATGTATTTTCTTTTTTCTTCTTCTTCTTCTTCTTCTTCTTCTTTTTGTTTATTTTCTTTCCCTTTTTTATTTATTTTTTTCTTCCTTACGCGGAAGAAAAGCACGTAAGAAGAGTCGACCGAAGATCGAATCGAAAAGAGGAAAAAAAAAAAAAGAAAAAAAGAAAAATAGATCGAAGAAATTATAAAAAGATTTCTTTCATATATTCTCAGAAAAGAAGTTTTTGATAAAGATCTGATGAGAAAAAAATGAAATCGTAATAAATTTTATTCATTGTCAATGTATAAATTGAAATCTAAGAATCTAATATCGCGTTGACCTTTTATCTTTTGATCATTATCACAAAGTAATAAAGAAATAAGTTATGACGCAATCGATTATATAGTACCGTTTTCTTTTTTTCTTCTTTTTTCTTTTTTTTTTTTCTTTTTTTTTTTTACAGTTGTTTGATCCAACACTCCGTTGCATTAGTCTCAACTTTTTCCATCGATCACGGCGCAATCAGTCAATTTTCTTAAGTATTAGTTCTTAGTACTTTGTTGGGTTAAACTATAGTTTTTTCTTTTCTTTTTTTTTTTTTTTTTTTACAAAGAATAATCACTGATAATGGAAGAAGAAGAAAAGTAATAATGAGCGCGTAAACAGGACGATTATTTACTAATCCTCCATGAAAAGAAAGAAACACAGAGAAAAAACAAAAACAAAAGAAAAAAAAGAAAACCACCGAAAAAAAGTTTCCGCGTAAATCACAAAACGTATCGGGTGTAATTAAAATTATTTCATTTTGCATTATATATCGATTTTGGTGTTACTGATAGATCCAAAAAAAATAAAAAAGAAAAAAAGAAAAAAAAAGAAAAAATATTAACAATTACAACGTACAAGTATCAAGGATATTTCCAATAAGTGTACGAGAGAAAATTATGTGAATTATTGAACATTCATAAAAAAGAGAGAGAGAGAGAGAGAGAGAGAGAGAGAGAGAAAACAAAAAAGAAAGAAAAAAAAAAGCGAAAAAGAGAAAGAAAAAGAAAACTTTCGAAGTTAATTCCTTTGTCTCTTACTACTACTACTACTCGAGAATGACCGTCAATATCCTCGAATATATTTTTCTTCGGATAGGCAATGAAAGAGATGAAAGAAAAAAAAGAATCTTACAAGTGACTTGTGCTCGATTACTACGTTGTTTTATTCAAAGACACCGCTTGATAAATGACTAGGAAGATGAGAGAAGTCGATGTAAGGATGATAACGGTCACGGATGTCATTAGGGACGCCGTCGGCAAGCATTGGTGTCGAGAGTCTCGAATAAGCTCGAACGATCGACACTAGCAATCGAAGTAATTTCTAATTACGAAGGATCTTTTTATTACATGGAATCATCATACATTCAGGCACACACATACATGTATATATATATATATATATATATATATATATATATATATATATAAATAAGAAAAAATAATGTGTAATATCGTAATCCTTAAAATAACATCGACGGATACGTGTTAGATTCTTTAGATTTGCGTTAGCCACGCAAAGAGAAGCTCAGCTTCTCGATGTTGGTCCTTTGCCTTGGGAAGAATCATCGTTAACCCCAGGGTGACACGTACGACCAGCAGCACGAGTCGTTTTCACCTGCAACCGGTTCGTAGGTAAGAGACTACGATGCTGTTTTACGAAGGAGACACTACGTGATAAATTACCGTCTGAATGGACGACCATGATGTACGCTGATAACGTCCGCGGACATGATTAAACTCAGCCACTCCATTGAAAGTAAGAATGAGAGAAACAGAGACAGAAAAAGAGATAGAGAGAGAGAGAGAGAGAGAGAGAGAGAGAGAGAAATGGAGAGAAAGAGAGAGTATGTAAGGCTCACAACCATTGGTAACAACAGACTCGTAAACGAAACTCTTGATTTTAGTGCGGTGTAACCGTGGCAGTATTTTACGACGAGGTTGGTATCCTTCACCGTAGGAGTGGAAGGATCTATTATTTGCATAAATCTGTTGATGCTTTTAGCACTTGAAGAGAGTTACTTCAACCAGGAAGTTCATACTCCTTTTCAGTTTCTCTTTTTCTTTCTCTTTCTCTTTTGTCATATCATACAACCAATTTAAAGTTAAAAGTTATTGCTTCTTTTCTTTTCTCTCTCTCTCTCTCTCTCTCTCTCTCTCTCTCTCTATCTCTCTCTCTCGCTCTTTTTTTTTTTTTACAATCACGTTTTAAATTTTCGAAATGAAAAATTAATACTAATAGAATAAATAAAATTGTTAACTAGTCATTATTTATCTTACATCTTCTTCTATGTATACGATATTTCTTATTAATGTTAGATTATTAATAAATATTTCCTAAAAAAATTAATGTTTCTTAATTAATCTTAAATCCGATTTAAATATATTTTAATTCTATAATATGTAATATACTTCATATATATATATATATATATATATATATATATATATATATATATATATATGCATACTATTTAAATGTACAAAAAATCGGATAAATACAGTATCATATTGATACATACACCAAGATTATTATTATATATATATATATTTTTTTTTTATAAAAAGCGAAGTATAACAATGAGTTTTTAGGTGATTATTATAAAACTCTCTTCTCGAGGCTCGTCAATTTATTTTATCAATCGTAAAAACTTACAATTATTTCTTATTTTTTTTTTTTCTTTTTTAGATTATAAAACTACAAACCTAGAAATTTTTGATCCATCCCGTATATCATCTATTTATTATCTATTTATTTAAAAATTATTGAAAAACTCGAACATTACGAAACAGTATCGAGAAAGTAAGAATAAATCTTTTTTCTTTTCTCCCGAAGATGAATTCCGTTCGGGTCATGAAAGGTTCTTCTTTTGAATAAGAAATAAGGAAAAAAAAAATAAAGAAGGTCGACCGACTTGGTAAAAGAGAAAAAAAAAAAGAAAAAATAAAAGAAAAGAAAGAAAATAAATAAAAATAAAAATAAAAATATCAGCGAGGACGAATCGATCCTTATCGATTAGTCTGTTTCACATAGAAAGACTTTATGGGGAACGTGCTAAGAGAAATTTGCATGCATGTTTTCAGCATGGAAACTCGGCTTTGCACGAAGCCTCATGGCGAGGATACAGCCGGACTGTTGCTGCTTTGGCTAAGGCCCTCGGGACTCAACGCGCTCCTTTGCACGCGAGGAATCTAGCTGGATTTGCGCCGCTTCACCTCGCTTGTCAAAATGGCCATAACCAAAGCTGTCGAGAACTTCTTCTAGCTGGATGCAATCCCGATCTTCAAAACAATGTATGTTATATAACAGAATAACTTTAATAATTATTCTTATTTTTTAATTTATTATCATCTATGACATTAGATCTACAACGAATTTAATATTAATCCCTTGGCAATTGAAATTAATCCCTTGGCATACATATGTTATTATTTATTATTAGATTGTAAAACAATTTATGTTTCATTTGAATGATCATTTAGTTGAATTAATTTTCATGGAAAAATTTTCAATGAACTAAACAAAATATTTACACATTTTTCACATTTTCATTGTTATTATCATTTCTTTTATTTTTTTTTCTTTTTCTTTTTTTTTTTTTAACTGTATGATAAATTTTTTCATAATAATTCGTGTTTTATTGGAATATTGTGTTTTTTTTCTAATTGAATTCCGTGGAAAAAAAAAAGAAAAAAAAAAAGAAAAAACATTTGCAATACCAAATGCATTGATATTTTCATTTCTTTTTTTTCTTTTTTCTTTTTTCACCTAAGCGATGAATTTGTTAACGATTTTATAATGATTCATGTTTTATTGGAATTATTTGTTTGTAATTGAATTTCGTGCAAAAAAAAAAAAAAGAAAAAAGAAACAAAATTTACAATACCAAATAAAGTATTTGTTGATTTACATTAATATTTTCAGCGTTTTTACTAATATGATGAATTTGTTAACAATTTTATAATGATTCACGTTTATACCGTTTATTTCTTTCCAATTAAATCTTAATACTCACGGGATAAAAGGAATTGTTTATAATTATATTTTATAAGGAATATAATTTGTAAAATTTGAATCGATCTCGTTACGTGCTTGAAGAAAAGATAATCGATTAAATTTACGAATTTATTCGATAACACTGGAATAATACTTATCGGTAACGCGATAAATTGTTTTCTTTTTTTTTCTTTTTTTTTTTGTTTTCTTTCATACACGTTACCCTATCGTCATAAATATCCACGTAATCGTATGCTCGATTAATCATTTATTAAATTCATTCATCACTATCATTAATCGCAGTGGACGTTCATAGGCTTGGCCCATCCGGTTTAACGACTCGAACGACTATCTTTCGATACCTTCTCCCTCCGGCATATTTAATATCGGAATAATTTAAATTTTATTTTATTTTTATATATATCTGTATATATATATATATATATATATATATATATATATTTGTTTTTTATTATTATTTTCAGTATGGAGACACGCCACTTCATACATCGGCGCGTTACGGTCACGCAGGTGTTACGCGTATCTTAATATCGGCGCTCTGCAGGGTCTCTGAACAAAATAAAGTAAGTGAGCATAGCATTTGTAAATTCAATTTGACGAAAAAAAAAAACGTAATGATTGAATAATAAAAATGCAATAATAAAAATGATCAATAATAATACACCATATATACGTATGGATTTCAGTACATTCAAATTTTAAACTTCGATCAACTTTAACATATACATAACTCTTAATCAAAATAAATTAAATTTTAACTAACTTTACTTGCAATTAAATTGAGACAAATATATAATAATATCATCTATGATAGAAAAATAATTAAAATATATGTAATACACGATTTACGATTTAATAATGAAAATCAATATACGAATACTTTCTACAGTCATTGTATATTATCATTGAAAATTTTGAGAATATATATATATATATATATATATATATATATATAAAAAGAAATAAAAGGAAAAATTGAAAATTTCTATTAATAAAAAAAACGAAAATTAATTTCATTAATAATATGTGGTCTCATTTATTTTCTCGATCACGCAGAACGGTGACACGGCACTCCACATTGCCGCAGCGATGGGCCGTCGGAAATTGACGAGGATACTTCTTGAAGCCGGTTGTGATAGGACGCTGCGAAACAAGCAGGGCGAGACAGCGAAGGATATAGCTCGTCGCAAAAACCTGACGGAGATACTCGAGATAATCGGTAAGGCAAGGAGCAAGAGTAGAGCCCGTAGCAAAAGTCGGGACGAGGAATCGAGTAACGACAAGGTCGATGGCAGTGGTGGCAGTGCTGTCGCTGTTAAGTGCGATAGAAACGAAAAGAAACGGGAAAAGACTGGTAGCGGTACCAGTGGTAGTAGGGATGGTTGTACGATCAAGAAGGAAAAAAAGAAACACAAAGGAGGTAGTGCCGGTAGCGGCGGAAAGACTCACAAAGTACATTTTGAAAAGGCTGTGATGGGAAGACAATGGTCACCTTATGGTTGCCATTATTATCCAGATCCAGATTCTTTTCCACAGCCAAGATTAGACTCGTTACCACCTGACCCATTAGGAAGGGGTGAACAATATTATCTAGACTTGGCTGGTAACATAAGAAAGGGTCCGGTTGGTGTAGGGTATACTTGTTATTGTGCACCTTTCTTCAGGCATATGGAGGCAAAGTTAGAAAGAGATAAGGCAGAATTGAAGGCACATATAGATCAGGCACATGAAAGATTGGATTTGAAAGTGGCTAATCTCGAGAGAAGAACCCGCGGACAGATTTCCGAATTAACTAGATGCGTAGCAGCTGAAAGAGCACGTTGCGACGAAAGACATCAACATCTTCAACAGAAATTATCACGTGGTGGTAGAGGTAGGCACAGTGAGAGACCAGCTAGAACGTCGAATGTCGACGATCAAGTACCTCCTACTCGTGCCAGATCTCTCGAGGATTTACTTGATGATAGACCACAGGATAGAAGCTTTGAAATTCCTGGTGAAACTCCTGTTTATCGAGGTAGTCTTGATGATTTAGATATTCCTGCTATACCTAGGCTAAGCAAATCGATGAAGGATCTTCCTTCGGGATCGGGTATGGCTAGGTCGACCTTGAGAGTACTTGACGTTCCAGCAAGATTGAATGAGACTTTCGACGGTGTCATCAGGCAAGATCGTAGCTCTCCTCTTGGTGCAGCATCATCGCCGTCTATGGGCTCGAGACAACAGACTCGTCGGCAACGGGTAAATCTGAAATATTTTCATTTTTTCGCATTATACCTGATCAAAGTTTGATTTATTACTTTGCCATTATGCTTTTATTTTAGACTTCTCTCTCGCAGGAACAGGGTACTAATATTAGCCAGGAAGAAAATAACGCGACTCGTAAAAATGGCGAAGAAAATTCAGGAGAATGGAGATCGTCACCGAGTCGTCGTAGCGTTCATGAAATGATTAAACGATTTCAACAAGTACCTGGCATGCATAATGGCTGGCGTGGACAACGTTCTGGTAGTAGCGAACCTACCAGCCCGGAACACAGTCAATGTTCACAAAACAAAAGGATTCAACCACAGGGTGGTGTAGGGAATAATTGGCATGGTGAAGGTGAAGGTAACCTAAATATTTGGGAGAATCTCATCAGTTTTATTTTTTTTCTTATTTTTATCATCGAAATTATCCTTTCTTAAATCGAATAAATGTCTAACGTATATAACATTCTTATTACCAATGTAGGTAATAACAGTGAAAGTAGCGAGGGAGAGGATGACATGGAACAACCAGAAGCCCTAAAAGGAAATGTTTCGAACAAAGGTGTTATACAAGAAGATGTTCATTACGACAGCATAGCCAGGATGCCTTACAGATCGCGTAGTGCTGTTTATAGTCCTACTCCACTCTTACACGATGCTCATAATGATTCTGGATATAGTACTCGTATGTATGGATCAAGTAAGGGAGCCTCACCTTCTCTCTCAGGTAATGAAAATTCACATAGTAAATTGGCAAAATGTTCATGGAAACGTATTATTATAAATGAAACATACATTTGAAATTGAAGGACAATTAGAATGCGATGTTATTCTACCACCTTCCCAAGGAGGTGCCTTCCCAAGTGGAGAACAATTGGCTGCCTTATTGGAACAACCAAGAGGACATGACTTAACTGTATACGAAAGAGGCGCAGACAATGTTGTCATTAATATAGGAACTGCGAGTCTCGTTTAATGTAATTTTCTTCTGTTTTTTCTTTTTTTTTTTTTTTTTTTATTGTTCTTTTTTTTGCGAGATTTATCACAAACGTGAACGTGGAACTTCCAAAGATGACGCAAAATCGAGCTCGCTCGTAATTTTGTGAACTCGTCATTAGCGAAAGGTAATTCATACAACTACGTTCTCTTCTATAGACTTATTCGCGTACCTTCTCATTATTTTTTAAACGTTGTCCAATACGTGCTCATTTTTGTAGAATAATAGCAATTACAAGCGATTTCTTTTACATATATATATATATATATATATATATATATATATATATATATATATACCTGTGTTCATATTTTTATATAAATATTATGTTAAAAAGAGAGATCGAAATGTTTGTAATTTGAGTACAAATATAAGAGTTTTTGTTCATCATATTAACGTAGTTACGAATAATCTTCGATCGTCGTGTGTGCAGTAGAAATTTAATTGTTTGTTGCCATGCATCAAAAGAAAAAAAAAAAAAAAGAAAAAAAAAGGGGGAAAAAAGGAGAGAAAAAAGGAAAAAAAAATATATAAATTAAGAATATTTATTGCGCTACGTGTGCATGTGTGTGTCATACTATGTACAAGTTTTCTTCGATCTAATTTTTAGATTATCTTAATGCAATATAGAAATATATGAATGACATTGTATTTTTTATGCTCCTAATAATTGGTACAATGTGTCTTTTATTACACATTAAAGAATATACCGATGCTTCGTTCTTTCAGTATCAGAAGTGAAGTCAGAGATGGAAGAGTGATAAAGAGGATCTCCCATTAATGTCATTGAATTAGATTTGTAAATTTTCACGACTACATAATCACCAGCTTCTATTTTTCTTTTAGTAGTTGAATGTTCACTGATAGGTATACTGGCACAAGGAAGTAAAACTCTTATATTGTTATCATTTCTTCCTTGAAGTTTCTGATCACACTTCCTGCTCACCTACCAAAAATAAATGTACACATATCTCAATCTAATAAATATTTTTCACAATTGTACTGATATATATATATATATATATATATATATATATATATATATATATATATCTGTTAGAAAAAAAAAAAGGAAAAGAAAAACTTACACCTTCCACGAGTACAAGCTGTTTTTGACCTATGTATATACCATTCAATTTTTCTGTCTCTTTTCTATACAATGCTATCATTCTTTGGAGTCTATCTGATTTAACGTTTGCTTCAACGTCATCTTTGTATCGATGATATGCTGTCGTTTTCTATATTTGTACAACAAATATTTATGAATGAATATTTATCTTCGCATATATTGATTAGTCGATTCAGATTACCTCTCTCATACTATACGCGAATAGAAAGGCAGTATTATATTTGACTAATTTGATCAATGATAAAGTATCCTGAAATTCTTCCTCTGTCTCCCCACAAAAACCAGCAATAAAATCACTGGATAACGCGACTTCCGGTAGTATATCACGTATGTGATTTACAAGATCAATATATGCCTCTCTTGTATATCCACGTCTCATTCTTTCTAATACAGCAGAATTACCACTTTGTGCAGGTAAATGAATCTGTTTAGAAATATTTGGCCTTTCTGCTATTAATTCGAGTACTTCATTGGGAAAATCTTTTGGATGAGGTGACGTAAATCTGATAAAAAATCAATTTAATAAATATCATTTTATCATTTCTATTATTCATTAAAATATCTATCTTAAAATAATTACCTTATTCTCATTTCTGGATTAATTAGAGATACCTTATCTAACAGATCACTGAATCTTAATCCACCCTTTTTAGTTTTATATACTGTTTTAAATCCTTTAACAAGATTAGTTTCTACGTTTGAAGGTGTATAAAAATCTGATTGAGATAAATCTCTATAACTATTTACATTTTGTCCTAAAAGAATAACTTCCTTTATACCCTCATCCGATAAATGTTGAATTTCATTAATGATACTATCAATAGGTCTTGATCTTTCTCTACCCCTTGTAAATGGTACTATACAGTATGTACACATATTGTCACATCCTCGCATAATGGAACTGCAAGTAATAATAAAATTATAATAAAATTTAAATTCTGTTTGGAAATTGGATAATGTAATTGATGTTAAAAAATTTCAAATACATTACACAAATGCACTGACAGAATTTGAATCAAGCCTAACAGGTAAGATATCTGCATAAGTCTCATCGAGCGATAATAAAACATTAATAGCAGTTTCTTTATCGGTTTTTGCCAGAAGTCTTGGCAAATCCTTGTAACTATCAGGACCAGCAATCACATCTATTGCATGTTCTTTTTCTAATATTTTATGCTTCAAACGTTCCGCCATACATCCTATCACATAAACAAATAATAAAAGGACGATCATAAATCATAGTATCTCTTAATATATTGATCATACCTAATAATCCAATTTTTAAAGGAACTTTTTCTATCCTTTTTCGTTTCATATGACTTAAATGAAATAACTTATTCCATATTTTTTGTTCCGCACCATCTCTAATAGCGCAAGTAACTAAAAGCACAATATCAGCATCTTTCATATTATTCGTAAATTGATAACCATGACTTTTTAATATAGACCATATTATCTCTGTATCATTGACATTCATTGCACAGCCATGAACATCAAAATATACTGAAACATGAGTAAGAATGATATAAATATTATTGTAGAAAAACAATCCAATAGATAAATAAACATACCTTATTTATATTTACCTTTTTGATTTTGACCATGTACATTATGAATATATGGAATATTTTCAACGGTAGGAATATTAGAAACATTGTTATCGTGTTCATTGTTTTTTATCAAAAAGTCTCGAAGGGACAATCCATCTTTGGGTAAATATTTTCTTTTTTCTTTTTTATTGTCACTGAAATTGTCGACATTAGATACTGTCGAATTTAGAAATACAGTAGTATTTAATGTACGACAATTATAAATGTCATGAATATTGACTATTTTCCATAATCGTGCATATTTATTTAGATATTGTCTTGATGAGACATAACGTAGATTAATAATCCCTTTCATTTTTATCGTTATACGTTTCACATATATACGATATGAAATATAATCATTTTATGTGTAACTCATATTAGTAAATTTTTAATATAATCAAAAATTAGAATTTAATCGAAGAGAATACGAATTCTAACCTAATTTCCATGATTTTCGCCATTCCTTCGCGACTTGCGCGCTCTCTAGTGGCAAATATCTTTTATACTCGGTTATATTTCTCTTTTTTTTTTTTTAAATCCTATTTGTAGATACTTTTTTTTTTTAATCCTATTTCTATATCTGTTTTCCCAATATCTTTAATATCTATATATATATATATATATAGGAATTAAAGGGATTTATCGATATAATAATAAAGAATATATTGAAAATAACATAAGAATAAATTTCGCGATAAAGGAAACTCGGACAAATGAAAGGTCATTCCTAGAAAGATTCTTACGATTGGGGCGGCTTGCTATACGATAAATGCAAATTTATTTGATTTAATAATTTTTCAATGAAACGTCGTATATTAACTTATTAAAAATTTGTTCATTATAAATTTTCAAAGGTTACAAAACAAATTGAAATATACGTATGCACATTAATCTCCTTTGTACAAATATCTTTGAGGACTTATACGATATTCAATTCTTTTGATTGTATTTTATAAGATATGTATCCAGTTGTATGGAAATACTATTTGAGCTTAATAGAATTGATAAAAACGATCTTACGGGAAAATAATAAGTATATATATATATATATATATATATATATATATATATATATATATATATATATATATATAGCATTACCTTAATTTTTCAATCAAACGGTTAACATCTCTCGTAACAAAAAAAAAAAAAAAAAAAAAAAACAAAAGTTAGAAACAATTAACATTTAAATAAATTAACACAAATTTTCAATTTTATTTCATTATTATATTTTCTATGTTTTTGAAATCCAAACACATCTATTTACGACTTATCGATAAAATAATACAATAAATATCTGAATTCTTTTAAAATTAAAATATCTTCCTTTCCTGACATCCTTGGTGTGACGTGTAATTTTGTTTCCTTTCTTTCTTTCTTTTTTTTATTTTTTTTTTTTTTTTAATTATTTTTTTCTCTTTTTAAATATTTTTTTTAAAGGCTTCCTCAAATGCGCATTTTTCGTTTTTGTTTTTTTTTTCTTTTTGTTTTGTTTTTTTTTTTCTTTTTCTTCTTCTCTTATCTACCAAGTTTAATCAATCACAAGCACAGCTTCAATCAAATTGTTCGTCCATTATGTCGTAATGAGATTTTTACTAAGCGGATATAGACAAAATTCAATGTTATTCATTCTGCACGTTATTTTAATCGTACGAAATTTCATGTTAAATATATAAAAGCGTGAAAAAAAAAACGGATTAACAAAAAGGGCACATAATTTCTTTTTTTGTTTTTTTTTTGTGCATACACGTAAACTGTTATTATAAAGAGGGGTGGGGCGGGGGTAAAAATAAGATAAGAGGAAAGATATTTTATCATCGCTACTCTACACTGTATTTTTTGTTCACATCTATTAAATGTATTAATTGCAACTGTGACGCCTTCTCTAAGAATATATTGCAAATATTGGCTAATAATTTACAATTTACTGTTATATATAAAATAGTAAAGTCAGATAATATAAGAATGTTCTTACCATGATGATTCCCTTTTTTTTATTTTCTTTTTTTCTTTTTTTTTTCTTTTTAAATCTAACAATTTATTCTTTTAATTATTATTTCATTAAAGCCACAACTGTTCGCTTCATGATTATCTTTTTATAAATTTGATAATATCTAGGACACTCTTTCAGCTTCATATTAATCATTAAAAATATTCTCACTTAAAGTTCATGCCAAATTTCAAGCTCACATATAATATTAACACATTTATTATTATACCCACATTTGTAACTCGCATTGAATGTTTCGTATGAGATTGTAAATGCTTTTAATTCTATTTATTTCTATACTTTTTTTTTTATTTTTTATTTTTCTTCTTCTTCTGAATTTATTGTAATGTTGTCCTTTGTGAGATAATATTTAGAACTTAGACAGTTAAGTATTTTAATTTAATCAATTACACAAAGGAAATAATGAAGGAATCAAGTGATAAATTTAGAATTAAAGAATAGCAAAATAATAGAAAAGTATGATAATAAAAAGTACGATCTCAAAATTTAGAACCTCTTGGTTTAAATCAGTAAATAAAGGGGGGGATCGTCTGAGTAAGATACATTCAAGCACTGAAAATGCTACCAAGCGCTGACAAAAGAAATAAACTTGTATTCTTATTTTATGAACCTTACATCTTATACAAAGACAAAAAAATCAATTACCTCCTGTATCGGCATTGCAAAATAGAAATTTGTAAAAATCACTAAGGCTAAGTCAATTAAGTAGACATTTTTCTTGTTTACTGGTGAATGTTCAAGGAGAATCAGGCTAAAGTATAGCGTACATATGGGACTTCAACATCGTTTCCTTCGGCATCATTACAACAGAGTTCAAATACCAATGCTCTTACATGTGGCTCCAATTTTTTCTTTGATACTTTCTTGACAACCTCAGACATCAATAGGCCCATACGCTCTTCACATTTTGGTTTTGGCATAAAGAATGAATATAACATGCATACACCTTGAGATAGCATAGTGACTTCGAGATTATGATGCTTTTTGAAATAATTTAAGAATTCTTTGAGTGTAAGTTCTCCCCTTACTTCAAATCTATCCCATAATGTCCATTCTGTATCATAATATTTTAATTTAGGTGCAGAAATAGGTTCAGAAAATCCAAAGAATGGTAAGGCCAAATTAACAAAACCATTTTTATAAACGGATAAGTCTCTAACACCTCTGGTTAATTTATATAACTCTAGGCATACCAGTCCAGCTACTACAGAGGTTGTTGTAGCTATTGCTGGAATAATCTTTCCAGCTATAAGCTTACTCTTATGCCTATCTGCAGGTGCAATTTTGTAATTAGTAGCACGTAAATTTGATGCTGCCACAATGAAGTCTATATGGAAATTAGAATCATCATCTTTTTCAAATTCCTGAGGATATAGTAATAAACCATTGAGTTCTTCAACTTTTGGCAGTTCTTCTTGTAATTGACTTAGCCTTTCATGATCAATATTTCCACTGCCATTGGATACTTGAACTTGAGAATCTGTTTCTGCTATTTTGACACCTGACTTTGGAGTAAACTCTGGTACTTGTACGGTAGAAACAATTTTAGCAATCTCTTCGCGATCCCGATTAGTTTTAATTCCATAGACTTTCGCCTTTAGATTAGCAGCAGCAATGATATAATCCATATGTAAAGTATTGTTTACATCAAAGATCAAAGGATCAGGGCAACGTTTTGGTCCAGACCAAAACAATTGTCCGCTCGATGTTACTTGATCCGGGGGAAAGTTAAAAAGTAATTGTCTGATTTGATTACTATATTGCTCCTGCCAGTGACAACGAGCCCATGCAATGCAATCCGCAAATGTTTTAGGTCTTTCATCTATCAATGCAGTTTTAACAGATTCTAGTACTTCTAATGGTTGTGTACCAGGCAGTTTTAAAGTTCTTTCTACAAATTGAGAATCGGAAATATATTGAGCAGCATTTTCAGCGGCTTGTCTGAATAAACCTTCAAAATAATCTCTAGCCCATTGTAAAGTATGTTCTATTGCATTAGGGAAATTCTTTAAAGTACAAATTGGTATACTCTTTTCTGGCGGATCTTGTGAGGAACTATACGATTCGGTTAAAAATGGGACAACCACTTGAGTATTACCTTTCGTACCTAATGTACCAGATTCCAATAGAGATTTACGATAATAGACACATCGACGATCCATATAAATGCGTGCATTAACATTATCCAAAGCATTAGCAACTCCATCAAGATCCTCAAAGAATTCATCATTGTATATCTTTTCTGTTTCGGCACAAACTCTATTTTCATGGGCAATTACTCTCACGTCAGGATTCATTCCTGTAATAACTCTTGCAGCTGTAGACGATTTTGATCTTTGCACATCGGATGGTCTGAACAAAAATTGTCTATTCAAATTCGATTTTTCAATCAAGTCCATATCTGTTACGGTAACATAACCCTTTTCTGATCCAACTCCTATCATGGCAAAATTCTTCAAAAGCTCACAACCAATGGCACCTGCTCCAACAACAAAATATTTTAGATTACCAATCTTCGATTGGAATGGTCTTCCAAAAACAGCTATTTGTCGATCGTAACGGGTACCAAGGGGACTGCAATCTTTTTCTTTAGGTTGATCTTTAGGTAGACATTCGATGGCATCAAAGTATAACCATTGATATATAGGATGAAACTTTCCAGTGCAAGCTTTCATTACTTCTTGAGCTACAATTCCACCTATTGTAGCATTCATAGGATTCAAATCACCGGAAGAGATTTTAGCAAATGTTGTCATTAAATCGTTATTGATCTCAATATCATCTTCAGTTTCTTTTTTAATATTTTCAACTATTCCAATAAATGCGTCAGCATCTTCCTGATTCCATGGTCTAGGCATTCTTCCCTCATTCTCACGATAACGATCTAAAGCTTTAAACGCTAAATGCAATTGTTTAGGATAATCGAATTTTCCATAATCAGTTATTAAGAATTCTGGTTTCTTCAAAGCTTCATCAAGCGATAGAAAATGCAATGATTTTGGTATTTTAACTTGCGTTACAATTCCACCTCTAATATATTCTGAATACGTTGATGTATCACCGATGCTAAAGGTGTACGGACCAAGTACTTTTATCTTTTTAGGTTCACAACCATTAAGCTCTGTCATGCCTTGAATTTCTGAGAAGGTTACGTAATCACCATCTTCCATACCATGACGTGTATCATCTAAGCAAGTAATAACTCCTTCTGAATCCTTTGAAATACTAGCAATCATAGCACTCACAGGCGGTTCACCATTGGTGTCTACAACAGTGAATGAATTACCAAAATCACAGAATACCTGAGAAAAGAGACCACGAGTATCTGCTATAATAAGCGCTATATCGTTCTCATGAGTTATTTGAGAAATGCGTAATTGTCCGGAAAGAGGTGTTTCCGACAGAACGACGACCCTAAATTTCTTAATAAAGGATTCCGTTAATGGTCCTGAATAGTACGAAGTGGGGACATAATTGTTAAGCTCTGAAAGACGATGACAACAGGCAGCGGCACGATTTTTACCTAAAAAAAAAAAACAAACAAACAAACAAACAAACAAACGAATCAAAAAAAAGAATCAGAATTTTATTATCAGACGAATCATTTAAATCTTTCCATTAAAATTAAAATAATCACATAAGTCCATGGGAGTTCAATGATCTTCTTTTTTTCTTTTTTTTTTCTTTTTTTTTTTTTTTAAATAATTATTCGACAATAATAAACGACGTTAATATTTACCTATGTCTTCCTCGGTGAGATAAAATTGTGAACCAAGATCTGAAAGTTGACATACGGCATCGTCATGTAACGTGACAGATTTGACACCGCCAAGGATGACATTTTTTGCGACCTCTACACCAAGACCACCTAATCCAGAAATCAGGACGTCGGATGTTGCCATACGACGCATTGCATCGTGCCCAAGGACATAAAGCTGCCTGGAATATAGACTCTCGTCGATTTCGGCGGGAGCCCGGGATGTCGAGCCGTTTTTCGCCATGTCTGCGATCGTCGCGGAGTCGTCGGCACCTCCCGTTGTGGCAGCAACGCGTCGCTTCTTGGCTGGGGGGTCAACGGAACTCTCCACCACCTCAGCACTAGACATCGGACTTCACGGATCGCCGTATTATGTCCGTCGATTCGTTCTTCTTATCAACCCGGCCGACTTAGCAGCACCACTTTTTCTTTTCTTTGCTTTTTCTTTTTTTTTTTCTTTTTTTTTTTTAACTTCTTTTCTCTTTTCAATCACCGAATTTCGGGGCTTACAAACGCGCGCACTACCACCACACCAGCAGCAGACGCACGATCACTCTACACAAGCGCCCCCTTTGCCTCTTACCTTTCTTCCGTTTCACTCCTTTCTTCCTCTTTCCTTTCTCTCTCTCTCTCTCTCTTTCCCCCCCACTCCTTCTCACTCTATCACTGTCTCTCTTTCTCTCTGTGTCTATCTCTTCTTGTCTTCTTCTTCTTCCTTCTTTCTCCTTCTTTATAACTATATTATTTTTATTTCTTTTTTTTTCCCCACGCACGTATTTATTCCTCCTTTTATCCTTTACTCAAGGACGATACAATTATTCACATTCACCTTCTTTTTCTTCCTTTTTCTTTTTTTCTCTTCTTTTTTTTTTTTTTTGCTTTTTTCCCCTTTAGAAAAAAACTACGACCCAAAGTCTGTATTTAATAATGTTATCGTTACCTTTTCTATATTCCGACGATCCCAACTCATCGACAATTAAGTCTTACACTTTTTGTCGTAAGAAAAATACGTTGACTTGTTTTACAATGATTAAAAATTTTCTTGAACTTTCATTCGCCAATATTACGTACGACGTACACCCAACCAATCTTGCCACATTGATGCGTCGTCCCTCTTGAAAGACGAATTTTGTTGCCAGCCGGACTGTCGGTAAAGTAGCTTATTTTTCGTGTGTTCGTAAATCTCGTAAGTCAAACGACGTGGAACTTATCTCTTTTCTGCTTCGAGTTTTACAAAAGGATATAGAAAATGATTGAACGAGGTAAGCCGTTATTATTCATTACTTTCATTTTTTTTTCGATACGTCGATGTTATAGGTTCCTCTCGTGAATAACTCGTATATTTCTTCGCATGCTCATTACAAAGATAATTTTATATATATATATATACATATATATGAATATATATATATATATATATATATATATATATATATATATATCTTTCCCTTTATCGATTTAGTCAAATGAAGTTGGAAACAAAGGATCTCTTAGTAAAAATGAGGTTGAATGACTGAATCGATTTGTTACTTTTAACCGGAAGTGATTTCATACTCGTCCAATTTTTCACTAAAATATCTACAGCTCGATTCACAGTTTCCTTTGTCCACTATCGTCACTTTTCATTTCCTATCGATTTCTAAACCATTTCTTTGTCCAACTTTACGATCGATTTTTATCACGGATGTATCAATTGAATGCATATAAAAACATATATATATAATATATATATATATGTCTGTATTAACATATGGTATATATGTATATGTACTACATCATCGCAAAATCATTTTCTTTTATAGGAATCAATAGTATCAAGTATGACATATCATATTCCAAGAAAGACATTATTTGTCAGGATGAACGATTATACGATTCTCCGCGCCATCTGTGGAGCTTACGGAGAAACAAAATTGCTGAAGATACGAGAAGGCGCGAAAATATTCAAAAAAGAATATTTGAAATAACGTTCTGACAAAGTATCTTAAACATTTCTATAACATTCGCATGGATATTCTCGATAAAAGATATTTATATTAAAAAGGTAAGTAATTAAATGAATTAATCATTTTTTCCATTATCTTTCATATTTATTCGTTATTATTAATTTTTTATTATTTATTTCGTATTCTGAACGATAAGTCATTTGAGATTTCACGATATTTAATTTTGGTTAATCATGAATGTCATTCGAATAATAGATCGAAAGTCGTATGAGTTTATAAGAAAAACAGTTTTACGAAGGTAATTACGAAAGAACGAGACGATAAAAGTGCGTAGATCATTCTTCGTCCTTGTATGGTTTACAAGACTCGATGAGTTTCAAACTTG